CTTTTTGGCTTCGGCTTCGAAAACATCAATGAATTTGCCTCCAATGAATTTTCTCTTTGCTTCTGGCTCATCGAGTCCGGCAAGGCCATCGAGGAAATCTTCAGATGCATCTGCGACAATCAAATTAATGCCGAGATTTTCTGTCAATGTCTTTCGTACTTGTTCGCACTCATTCAATCTCATAACACCGTTGTTGACGAGGACGGCATGGAATCGGTCTCCAATAGCCTCGTGCATTAATTTTGCAGCGACGGTTGAATCAACACCTCCACTGACAGCACCCAAGACTTGACCCTTCTCTCCAACCAATGTACGGATTCTAGCGATCTCTTGATCCACGAATTTTGCCATAGTCCAGTTTGTTCGAGCTCCGCAGATACCGACGGCGAAATTCTTGAGGAGCTGAATTCCATTTTCGGTGTGGGTAACTTCGGGGTGGAATTGAAGACCTAGAGTTTCTTTAGTTTTGATTCGGGGGAAAACGATTCTCCAAATAGATAGATCTAAATTCCCATACCATAGATGTGTTGACTCTCGTGCGCAATTGCTGCGTATTCAGAGTTTGTAGTTGTAGCAATAGTATGAAATCCATCTGGCAATGCACCCAATTTATCACCATGACTCATCCAGACTTTAACATCGTCCTCTAATCCTGCGAACAATTGGTCGACATGTCCGTTATCAATCTTCTTTGCTTTCAAATCAGCATGTCCGTATTCGCGGGCTGTGCCAGCAATGACGTTGTCTTTGCTAATTCTATAAGCAATCTCTTGCATTCCATAGCATATACCGAGAATAGGAACTCCAAGTTCAAAGAATGCGGGGTCAACGTGTGGTGCACCGTCCTCATATACTGAGTATGGTCCTCCGGACAAAATGATACCTTTTGGCTTCCATTCGAGATCTGCAAGCTTTTGGGTACATGGAAGCATTTCAGAGTAGACATTGAGTTCGCGCAAACGTCTGGTAATAAGGTGAGTGTATTGGGATCCAAAATCCAGAGTAAGAATAGTGTCATAAACCTTGTGAGGTTCAATCTCAGCAGCTGTAGGAGCCATTTTGAATTATTGGTAGGAGAATCTGCGAAGATATGAGGATATATGAGAGAGCGAGGGTGAAGATTGAATGAAAGGAATATGGGTTGTGAAGGTCGGAATCAATCGAATATGACTCTGAAGGAAAAATATCGGAAAGAAGAAAAATTTGGTTGTTGCATCTTATCGGGATGGTGGGCTTGACCTTATCGGAAGGCGCTAACCTAAGAATAGTTTAGGGAGGGGCAATGGACCATTGGCAACATGGGGTTTTTCGTGGAGAAAGAGAGAAGAGAGATCTACTAGTTAGATGTTTGATCAAATACAGTCTGACAGTATTTATGAAGAACCGTTCCAAAGATTTGGATTTGTATATGTATGTATAAATACTCATTGATGTTGCCAAGTTGGCTTTTGACTCAATTACTATAGATTTTCTAGAATCCTTTGGTTCGTGGAATGATAAATGATGACGAAGTGAATTGTCACCGAAAGTAAACAAGCAATCGAGAATATACAACGAGATATTATGTTCTAGGAGTCTAATGGACAAGACGGGTATCTAGGAGAAGCGCATATATGCGCGTGAGAGTCAGACTGATGGGTAACAACGGCGCCCAAGACTAAAGCACACTGGTCTCACCTTATTGCTCGTCCAGAACAATGAAGGGTGTGGACAATATAAACAAGATTGACTCCCCTTTTGCGAACACCGCCTTAAAGTGTATTTGGCAAATCAGGGGTACTGAAATCATGTTCACTCGTCTGTGCTCAGGCCTTGGGATCATCGAATCGCTAGTCCAGGCGAAGTTGATCTTATTCATCCATCTTGTTGAGAACAAAATCGATGGTGAATACTACATCTTTTGTCGTTTCAATGGTCGCCCAATCCTCCCTCGCATGGTTGCTAGTACTTATATCACCTCCAAATTCTGTCTTCCAATCTGTCACATCCCACTCTAAGCCTTGCGTGGTTATGGTCGAAGGTTCTTTGACAGGTAATATTCCAATGTGTTTTCCCAATCTCAGCAATTTGCCCTCTTCCTTGATCTTTATTTTGTGTTTTCCAGCCTTGAGAACAAAAGTTATAGCTTCACTAGAAACCAGATACATTTTGCCCTTAGAATAATTTGGTTCCTGCTGGAACATGTAAAGATGGTGAAGTTGTGAGAGAGCCTGATCTACTCTTCCACCTAAACCTCCAAGGCAAATGATATCGAGAGGTCTGGGTAATTGCTTGAGTTGATCGAGTTTCTTCTGACGATGGGAACATGGAGGAGTCCTTTCCGAGTCAACAGGTTGCTCAAAACTTTTGACATATCGCACTGCTTTGGTAAAGTCTGTGGAATACTGATCGCCATCTTTAATGATTTCGGTGCCAGTATCCTCAAAATATTTGAAGAGGTTGGGAGACATGGAATCGAAGTCGCCAATGATAGTATCAATGTCAAGATGGGTTTCAGCCTTTCTTTCATCTTGGAGGGCTGGGTCTAAGGAATTTCCATCGAATGGCTTCTTGTGATTCCTGTCATAAACTTGGTTTGCACCACCATCAGCTGCGATATGGTAGACAGCATTATCCCACAACTTCTTGTAGATGTTAGAAGGCAGCTCCAGAGGCTGATTCAAGACAATGAGCGCGAACTCTTTATGATCCGCTGGGTGATCGGAGAATATATCAGCAGGATGCCAAGTGACAAAATTTTGGGAGTCCATAATTTTATAGCGTTGGTGAAGGTTCTAGGAGAGGGAAGGTGTGTAGATGCTGAACGAAATTGACCATTAACCTTTCAGCTTGTAATGTCCTAGCAAAGAGAAGAAAATGAAAAGACTATATCTGGCAGTGTAAACTACCTAGCGCTGTTATCATGAGGGGCTACAATAAGGAAGTAGGAGAAAACTAAACATTCTGCTTGGTGGGATGAGAAGGTTAAGAACCTACACTTGCGACGATATCTTATCTTATCGACAATCACATGATCCAGATATTTTCTTGATTCGGTGATTCGGAAAATCCAGAGATGCTTACAAACACGCCGTTCATAACTCGAGTCTGCTATTCTTTGAGATTCCTAATATTTCGTTTGAGTAATTTCATCTTCGCAGTCTTTTTCCCAACTTTAGCCCAGCATGTTCAAATCAGTTTTGAGAGTTGCGCCGAAATGCTCACGACCACAGTCTAAATCTGTCATTAATACCAATTCGGCTCGACGATTCTTAAGCACAGCACCACCCTCACAAAAGTCCCGAAGTTGGAAAAGTAGTGCTGCAAGATGGGCATTGGCAGGCGCAGGAGTTTACTGGTATAACACGAGCAATGTTTTCGCCGAAGAACCAGAAGGTATGAGAATACTAGCAACTAGGAGGCGAATCTCAAGGAGATGCTGATTGGCACAACAGCCATTCAAAAATTAGATGAATCAATACACAGAGTTCGAGAATCGGATTTACCCACTCTCGATGCGGTAATTGAGGAAAAGCGAAAACGACAAGCTGAACTAGCAGCAGAACAAGAGAAGAGGGAACACGAGTCGGCCGCGAAAGCAGTTGCTGCAGAAGATGGAGCTGAGGAGGAAGGAGAGATGGAAGGACTAGAAGATGAAGCTGGTCAACAAGGCGCATTCAACCCGGAAACTGGTGAAATCAATTGGGATTGTCCTTGTTTGGGAGGAATGGCACATGGACCTTGTGGAGAGGAGTTCAAAGCTGCCTTTAGCTGTTTTGTTCACTCTACTGAAGAGCCAAAGGGTGTTGAATGTATAGAAAAGTTCAAGTGAGTCTGCAGGTCTGGAACGTCGACGATAGATCATGACTAATAATATCTAGGGGAATGCAAGATTGCTTCCGAGCTCATCCAGAGATGTATGCATCAGAATTGGAGAACGAGGAGGATGAGATAGAGGAGGAACTTCGAGCAAGAGAAGCGGCAAATGGATCAGAGGAGGGTGGCTCAGAACCGTTGTCACAAAAGGCCTCGGCATCAACGAAACCTGAGGAAACAACCGAGAAGAAGTCCGAAGGAAAATCCGAGCCAACAAAGCCAATTGCGCAAAGAGCTACCGAGTCCAATTCAAGTTCAACAGAAGAGAAACATAGGGATAGTCGAGACAGCACAACACCTGAGTCTACACAAAATTCGGGGGATGAGGGGGGAGAACTATTACCACGAGCGGCCCATGATGCTACAACAAAGAAATAAGTCCTTTTAGACTGTAATTTTAGTGTACAAATGTAATACCAAAAAAAGACGAAACTTTTGGGCATTCCTGTTATTTTGTATGTATGATATATGAAGACTCCACTATAATAGTTTGAATGTTGTCGATTTGTACCTATGTAGTAGATGGGAGACGTAGTATGCAGTATGCAGTGTTGTGATACTTGACAAGAACCTTCAGTTATGTTCAAGAGTAACCTTACCTATTAGTCAATAGAGAATAAACCATGTACTGATTAGGCACGGATCTATGATCACGAAAGTTCCCCCAACTACCATTTCCTTATCATTTTGATATCGCCGACAACGTATATTGAGAGATAATATAAGGTTAGTATCGTGTGTGCTAGGACATTTTCATTGTTGGTTCTTGTGTTGTATGCGTGCTTTCATACCCAAATCTCGAGTCGAGAGAGTCTACAGTCTACAGTCTACAGTCTAGAATCCATCTCGTTCCATTTGATGAGCCGCCTACGTCAACAGATGAAAATCCACTTTAAGCGAGAAGATCCAGCTTGAGCCACATCCACAAGCCATAGCCACACGTTCATCGAAATCTTTCCCGGTTTCTCACATGTTTCCCTTGTTCGCACACGACATTTTATCCTTTCCATACTTCTCCAGCTATTTCTCGTCAACTTAAAACATCCTTCTTGATATACTCAACATCCTCTCGGAAAACCATCCGCAAATTCCTACATCAAACGTACATCTTTTCATCCATCATACCTAATCATACCATATCAAAGATGTCTTACGCACAAGCAGCAGCTTCAGGTCCACAACAGACTGATGAGGAGGTATGTTTGAATTTCTCTTAAGCTCCTCTATATTTACTTTGTATCCTCTCCACCCGTGTCTCCTTTCTCATCGTCGTCAAAGGAATCCCTTCTACCTCCGACGATATTTACTACTCATTCAGGTCAAGAACTAATCATCCCACCACAGAAACGTGCTCCTGCCCCACCATCTGTCATCCCCACCGAAAGTGCCTCCACCTCCTCCTTAATTGACGTCGACACCGATTCGGTGCACACTGTTCCTTCAGACTTCCAATCACAGCCAGTCCAAACCGAGACACAAGCCAACCGTCTCGAGCAAGAAGCTGAACAGATTGAGGCTAAGCTTCGCGCTGCAAAGGATGCCGCTTCCAAGAAATCGAAGAAGGGCAAGAGCCGTGTTCAAGAGAACAGTGATAACCCAGTCGTGATTGGAAATGCGATCGCCGTGGCAGCATTGAGCGCTGGATTGGGATTCGGAGCATACTCAAAATACGCCAAGGGAGAGTTGACATGGAAGGTCGTGGGTGCGTGGGCTGGTGTTGTGGGTGCTTTGGCTGTTGGAGACTATTACTTGAGCTCGTACCTTTTCAAGACCAAGTACCCAGCCAAGAAGTAGTGAAGAGATGGAGAGGTGAAGGACTACGGCTTGAGAGGAGGCAGGATCTTCAAGGGATCATTACTATTATGTATGGTTAATTGGCTTGTGGTGGTCAATTTCTAAATGTTACGGCATGGAGATACTTTGTATTTGGTGGTGTTACTGCGACGGCGGAATTCTCCCCTCTTTGCGATTTTTGCGGTCGATATCAGTGCGGCTTGTGCAGTCTATATTGGCAGGACGATGAACCTGTTCATAGATCAAGGTTCGCACTTTCAACGAAGGACGATTTACGACATTGTTTGTTTTTCTAATTGGTGAAAGTCTTCCATGTTGTTTTTAACCAAGCACCGTTCGAATGAGCGATCTATGCTAGGCTTTAAATACTTCCTCCCAAAAAGAATCTACAAGAACAATCGTACTTGACTAACAAGCTTTCCTCGGCGGCGCGCACGCGAGCATACTTTTATCTGGAACTGGAGTGTACCTTCGTAGCCCCCAACTTAGCTACAGACACTATGTGACGTAAATTTCATATGGCTATCTACATATGTAACCTTCATTGTATTTGGGCAAAATGATTTCAAGCAAATGGTACCTTAGAGCTTTGTACATATCCTAGGCTCAAACTCCAAACGGGTGTCATGATCGATAATGATTTGTACAACATCCTTCCACCCAATGCGCCGTCAAAGATCCTAACTATACATACATCCAGGTTCCTCTTAGATTTTCCCTCTACTCACTGACATCCACCCAGCCTCAGTCTCCTTACTTCTGAAAATGCCCCAAAACTTTCCTACATCTTCACAACTTTTATCCCCAGCTTCATGTTCATGAAAAGAACATACTTTTTCATCATAAAATTTAGTCCTAACATCTTTCCATCCTTCCGCCCCTCTCAAAAGTCTAACTACACTTTTATATAGAGACGGAAACCTCAATCCCAAATCAGCCAAACTATCCTCCGAGATACTATTTCCAGCCGTCGACGAAACTCCTTCTGGAAAAAGTAGCATAATAGCATACCATCTTGCCATCCATCTCCTCAGTCCGCAATCCCGATCTTTTGGGCCTATCGGTTCCGTTAACTCAAACGCCAACTCAATCGCAAAGACATTCGGCGTAAACCTTTTCTCCACATATCTTCTTCCTAAGCCAGTCAACACTTTATCCATCATTTCTGTCATTCCTAGTTGATGCGCCAATGCGTAGACTTCTATTGCTGCGCAACTTGGTTTATTTCCTTCGTTTTCGAATCCAGCGTCTAGAGTACCGCGATATAGCCATTTCATGATGATGGCAAAATGTTCCGAGCTAATTTTGGGTAGATAGTGGTCTTCTTTCTCTTCGCTGAGTTCATCGTTGTTTAGAAAGATGTCTGCGAAGAAGGGAGATTTGGCGCAGAGGAGTCCGCGGTGGATGCTGAATTTTTTGCGTTTGGGTCCGATGTGGAGGTCTATTATAGGACTGTCGAGCATGCTGTTGAACTTTGGTTAGATATGGTATTCTAAGGTATAAGACAATATTGATATGTGACTTGTGAGATTGTTAAGAGAACCTACTCTTCATAAGATGGTTTTGGCTTCGTAGTCTTGACCGTCGACATCCTTTTCTTTGCCGACTCGGAATGAAGTCGATGCGTCATCTCGTGTTAATTATTCGAGCTTGATGTTACTTTTTCCCCGCCGTACTTGAAGTTGTACCATTAAAGTTGTTTTCAGATGGTTATCATTCACATAGACTAAAGTATTGTACGCGTCGATATTGTTGGAGACGCGCCGAACCGTGCCGAGGCAGTTGGAATGGATTTTTAATCTAATCTAGTGTTCTCATAGTGAAGTATGGGGTGGAATAGAGACTCATTAAACTGTTCTTAGTGAATGACATTCTATGAATATTTATCCTGGAGGGTCTTCAAGAACCATAATATCCAGCACGTTCCAAATGCATTCCTCTTTGTCTAATGTGATGCGTAGCTCAACAAACTTTTATCGAACTAAAGTTAATGAAAATGGCCAAAGAATTCTGGATGTAGGAACTAGTATATATTGATTATGCGAGGAGATGCTCTAGACCACTAGGTCAGTCAACGCGTATAGCCATCGCACTTCAATTCTCTTGTTCATCTGATGTAGTGCACCATGGTTCGGTGGCTCTGTCTGGTATTGCCATCTTACCTATACTTCAATGCTCCTTCACACCACAGATATTTCTCAGCATCTAAGGCAGGTATGCATCTACTTCTTTCTCGTATGATGGATGAACAGAATGAGAATAAACGATGCAGAAGTTGAGGAGGGAAGATAGGCTTGGTTTGAGGGTACTTGATGTATCAATGAATGTCAACATGCTTTTTTCCAATCGCATTCGTGTACGACGTTCCTTGTTAGAAGTTCTATGAGTGAGGAGAAAACAATCTAATCCAGTAGGAGTTTCTCACTTGAGGAATGCAATTTGACAGTGATTCAATGATCAGAGCCCTTCCAACTAGGTGACTCCAGGCGTGGGCGAGCTCAGTCAATGAGAGTGGTCCATCTAGTAACTCCAAATGCCCGTCTAATTCAGGCATTTGAGTTGAATCCGGTGCGAAATGGTGGTGAAAGGTGTTAGGCTTCAATCCATCTGTTCAATGTCAAATACAGGATCATTTATGGATCATTCTTTGATACTCAATTGTACTTGGTAGAGAGCATCGGGGCATGACAATTCACGTTTCTCGTTACTTATATGCAAATAATTTAGACGAGTAGGTTAAGTTTATCGAGTTGTATTTGACTTGGCATGAATTGGATATTGGACAGCACACAATCTCATCACGTCGTTAAAACAAAGACAAGCCTATAATTAGCCCCTATTTGGTTTATCCCTTGCAGGTGCAGGTGCAGGTGCAGGTGCAGGCGCCATACACTGACGACATTGATTTGGTTCTCCTCTTTCCCAACCTCGCTCTTTCCCGATCTCATTGTTTATGCCTTTTCAACCAAATTCCATTTATTTTGTCATCTGTAATTAAAATTAAGGATATTCCGTGTGCATACAATCTACATCCATCAAGGCATTCATCATTGACGATTTCTCTATATAAAACTTTGGATTCATATCGCCGCCATCGCAAATATGCCTTCTGCTAAAGGGAAACCAACTGATCCCAAGCTCAAGAAGGACATCACTGAAAGTAAAGAACTTTCTTTTCCTTTCCCCCCTCGTGATCCCAAGACCGCTTTAAAATCTCCCTTGACTTTGATTGTGTCCGATCCGTTCTTAACATCTACCAAAACAGAAGTAAAGCAAGAAACAAATAAAGATGGTAGTGGTAAAGGAAAGATGGCTGCATGGAAGGTAAGTCATCTGATCCCCTAGCAACCAGTATTCCGAGGTTCCAACCATCATTGTTTTCATCTCAAATTCCTCTTACGTGGTGCCATATACTAATTACAAACTATCACTTCAGGCCAAGAAGATCGGTCAAGAATATGAAGCTGAAGGAGGTGATTACGAAAATGAACCCGGATCTAAAGACAAACCCACGAAAGGAGCACCTGAGAAGAAATCCGAGGAGGAGAAAGCTGCTGAATTGAAAGAGTCCGCGAAGGAGAAGAACGGTCATGGCAAGGAGACCGCTGATGGAAAAGTAAATGGATCGGACGACAAGACAGAAGACCAACAAGTCGAGAAGAAGGCACCCGTTCAAAAGAAACAAGCTGCACCAAAGAAGGAAAAGAAGGTACAAAGACAAGGAACGCGAAGTAGCGCTCGACAACAAGAAAAGTTAGATCCAAAGCCCCCAGCAGAAAAGAGAAAAAACGTTAGTGATGAGGCAGCGGATGAGGATGATGAAGGGTCTGAAGAAGAAGAGAAGCCTGCGGCAAAGAAATCCAAAAATAAGGAACCAACGTCAGAAGAGCCAAAGTCGGAGGAACCAAACGAAGAGGAAGACAAAAAGGAACAAGCAAAACCAGAGCCAGAGGAGAAAAAGGCGGAGCCCAAGAAACGTGGTAGAAAGGCCAAAAAGTGAAAGTTTCACCCACCATTTATTCTTCCTCTATACAGTGTTGAACGGAAATAGCATTGGCGCATAAGGTATCACACAATTACGCACGCTGGTTTTGGAATGGAACAAGATGAGTATACGAACTTGTATTTTGGGGCGTCTGTCTACTACTACTCTTCGCTTATCGGGGCTCCATCTTGGGGAGCATCTTCTCTTTATTGTATACGAGAAAGCATGTATCATTATTGTTGATTTGCTTTCGCTGCAGTAGCAGTCATTCAAAAATGGATATCACCCTTTATCATGAACGTCTGTCTAGCTGTTCGCATCATCTTGGTTCTCATTCTGTGTGAGTGAACAACTTCTATGTCTATGGTGGCTGATGTATGGACAATTGGATTTCAGGATATCACAATGCCGCCTCCAGGTGAGTCCTATTTCCATTACATCAACCCCTTCGTCTGCTTCCACTTACTCCCCACCATCCACTTGTCTCCACAACACCTCCACCTCTTTCTCGTCTCTTCTCTGTGACTCCTTTAAAATTCTGAACATGTACTGCCCCAGCCTATACCCTTCCATCAAATCAACCAATGGTTTGGTCGCTTAGCTCAGTTGGTTAGAGCGTGGTGCTAATATCTTCTCTGTTCATACAGCAAGGTTTGGCACGCCAAGGTCGGCGGTTCGAAACCGCCAGTGATCAATTTCCTTTTGCTCCGCTATATAGATGGATACGACGATACCTAGGAATACATCGTGGTGGAGTTGCAGGTTGCTTGGGTGAGATTGAGGTGAACATGTGGTTCATTGAAACGCTATTTTTTCAACTTTTCATTTATGATACTGGTGGCAAATGAATTTAGATTTGCTAAGTCTTTCTTGATTAATGGAAATATTTCCTGCGTAATCCGTTCAATAAATTTCGTACAAATTAGAGGGTGTGAGTGGAGATGAAATGGGTATTACAGTCAAACCTGGCTATACGGGCACGTGCTTTACGGGCTTTTTTTTTCCAACCTTTCGAAAATTTATGCAGTGAAATTGACTTAAACGGGCATTCCTTTATATAAGAGATTATAGTACTAATATTCCAATAAATTTGGTGGTAGTGGCCCAAGCTTTTGGCCTATCACATGATAATCCCATAAATTCACGTGATGAAATTTTAGGCTGATGGCATAAAACGAGGCTAAATACGGGCATTGAGGCCTTGAAATTTTTAGGCCCTTATAGCCAGATTTAACTGTAATTGGACCGCTGTGGTGGGGAATGAAGGGGCTAGTGTCAGGCTAAGCGAAGCTAACTAATGTTGGCTCCCGCAAGGTCCGGGAGTTTGAAGATCTCCAACTTTATTAACGGGTTCTTTACTTCGTACTGGTTGGTCTGTTGATAAGATATCTTTTTCTTTAATTTGGCTTTGACGATCTGCAAAAGAATAATGCGTTATGGGGAGTAATCCTCTTACCTCCATAGGATGGCAACTTCATACTGCATTTAGCACAAGATGTAGACTGATGGTCAAGAATATGATATACAGGCATCTCGAAACCAAAACATTGCAGCGACGAATGGTATCTTATTAAAATAATCATACATCAAGAAAAGAATCTCTAAATGGTTTATACATATGCCCCATTCTCTCATCCTTATCCTTCAACCACTTATTTCGCCCCTCGCAATCCTTCCCTCCCTCCATTCCTCCTCATAAGTTTTTCCTCCAAAAAGCCTCCTCCTTTCCGGTTTCTCGCCCTTCTCATTCTTATGTCCATTCCTACCAGCTTCCCTACCTCCGACCCCTCCCAGTATCGCTCCCCCCAATGTCCCCAACCCAGGCATTATCAAATCCCCAATCAACCCCCCACCAAAAGCTCCAAAAAATGTATTTCTATCTTTATGAGAATTTCGAGCTCGAGTCTTGGATGCTCTTGAGTGTGTATGTGAATGTCTATGACGAGATCGACTCATCGATCTTGTAGATCGAGCTCGAGAACGTGAGTGAGCCCGATTTCTCGCTCGTGATCGCGATCTTTCTAGTGAGGAAGAATAAGAGGAAGATGTTGAACGTCCGCGGTGATGATAATCGGGGATGTGTTGAGCGAGATGGTGGGGATCGGGTGGTTCAGATATGGAACGTCGAGGACGAAGATGAGGGGGGAGGTTTCGGTAAGAGTGTGGTTCTACGGCCTGATATTGATATCGTCCATCCCGTTGATGAGGCTGTTGAGACGGAGTTTCATACCCGTAAGCTGGGGGTTGAGTTGAATTGTAGTCCGTAGTTTGCGGTGGAGGTGGGTGATATGGTGGTTGTTGTGAATAATCTCGTGGATTGTAGACAGCAGGTGTCGGATATGCTGGTCGTTCATTCATTGCAGTATCATCTTGTGCTCGTTGATGATATGCCGATGTGGGATATCCAGCAGTTGGTTTCAATATACCTGGACCTGGTATTGCTTGTGAAGAAGGATTATAATATTCATGTGCCGCCATCGTGATACTTGAAGTTAGTTATTTTCATCTATCTTGATGCTATTCTAAGGTTATATCGAGAGTTTTACGACTTTAATATATATACTGTTCTTCAACTCATGGACCATGGCTGCATGTAATTGTTTATCACAAGGCTCAGCGAATCAGATCGACGTCACCATACATGAAGCCAAGAAATATTACACTCTGCCTGATTAAGTTTACGTCACAAACAAGACTGGAGATGGTGAATATTTCAGAAGTTTAATGCGGTGCTGATGTCTTGGAATACGGATATCGCTTGCCGGGAAGCAAACAAGAGGGAATGGAGATGCAAGGCTGGCAGGTTTAGTTTGGGTTGCGGGGTAGATGATATTACTCGAATTTAGAAAGAAAAAAACTATCACGGAGTGTTTATAGAACCAATGGCATACAGGTATCATGAGCCATTCCTGGTAGAGTAGTGGCGGAATTCCCATTGCTGTACATTTGCGGCGAATGATCATGCTGACCAGCTCATGATCAACGCTTAGAATACTTCTAGAAGAATATAATCCTTGCTCCTGCAGAAGCTGAGCCTTGTGTCTCCACACCAAGACACTGTTTAGAGAATTGCCATGTATCTTGAAATTTCTGGATGTCTTTTCGGGCACCGGCTAGATGTGTATCTTCTGTCGGATTTGGTATCTTCTGCATTCATATTGATATTGGCGCCACAGTATTACATTGTGACTTCCGCGCCGGCATTTCCTCAGGAAAATCTGGATCTTCGTGTACGCTAGCACTCAAGAACCATGCACTTTTAGTCTTTAACCCTACTCTTACACTTAGTCACCATCGATCTCCTAACATCAGTGTGCTATCTTTCCTGTTCATACTGAATTTCAAGCAACCAGTCTCTCTTGATCTACTAACCAAACATCTATCGGTTCGTAAACAGTTGGCTCCGTAATGTTTCAATCGTTCGTAACACGTTGTACTCCATTGAACCTTTTGTCTCTATCGCGCTATTTTCCACCAAAACTTTCCTAAGCGTTTCGCAAAAGCATATTCTTTCTCTCGATCGGATATTCGTATTATGGATGGATCTAACGGATCGAAGCCAAGCTATTTGAGCCCTACAATGTCGGCATCTCGATGAACGAATACTCCTCTTTTCGATAGCGAGCCATCGTTATGATAGCCGTATCCACCAAAATTCTCTTATGAGCAGCATTAAACGGGATCGAGTATAATCCTACGTCCCTCTAGACGTCATTTTTGAGACAATACAGTATTGTCAATGTGTCTTGACATTTGCCTGATGGTGAAGGTATACGATACCTTGAGCTGGATTGAGTTCCGGTATGCAAATAAAGGTGTTCTATTTTCGGAGATGGTACTAGATTGTCGGTTATTCTCTGCCCTTTTTCCTCGGCCATTCCTATGTCGCTAGTATTATACGAGAACTAAAGTTAACAATCGCATAGAGTAGATTCGAAGTCTTAAAGTTAAAATATGAAACATAAGCTAGTGAATTGGTGGTAATCGTAGATACGATGACGATCCACAGCCGCCGTTTACTTAAAATAAGGTTACTGGACACTGACATTGTCAATGCATGGCCTCTGTCTTGACATCGTTCGACTTTGAATTTTGTTCTTTCATGATATTATATCGAAATAGTATGACCAAAGTGTAGATGAAAATCATGTAGGGCCAAGCTGTACAACCAGCTCTCTCGAGGAGGAAAGATAGCAATGTATCGATGACAACTCTGTTGAACTCAGTAGATTCCAATCTAGTATCATAATCGAGAATGACCGCAGTGATTATCAGATATCAATCGTTGATAAACTCGAACCATGTGCGAGAAGCTCGTTTTCAATTCAGTCTTTTCAATAGTCCGGACTGCAGTCCATTTTTAAGATTCTAGTTTTGAAATTCTGAGGACACTATTCCCGACTTCAAGCATGCATAATTCTGGATCGATCTAATAACAAAATTACTTGAGCCTTTGAGATGATGTAAATATTTATTGGAAGAAGTTGTATGTTCCAATCCTTTTGATTGCTGGACCATAGTCTGCCCAAGGTTCAGGTAAGTCTATGGGTGAAGACACCCATGATATAATACAACTTTCCGGACCATATTGCAAGTCCAGTTCATTAGAATAAACCTGTACATCAAATAAACTTCATCTATTCAGGCGCGCTAGCCCCAGTCTCTCGTAGTATTTTGCTCAATGCTGATTGTTGCAATTCCACTTGGTCATCACAAGGTCGTGCAGTTGCTTTCAAATGCAAGACTGTGTCTCTCAAGGCAATGAAGATGATGAAGTCAGTCATTTGTAATAAACATGCATGGTCCTGAGTCGATGGAACGTGAGAGGATTTTTGGTAGCTTGACAGGAGGATTGCTGGAGACAATGAATAGAGTAGAATCAAGAAGATTAGAAAGCTTAATAGAAATGGAAAGCTCGTATATCTCTAGGTACGGAAGAAGTAAATAACAAATAGCAATCACTAGCATTAGTATTGGCATCGGCATTGATCTTTCTAGCACTAAAGCACAGAAAA